GGCAGGGGGTTGGACTCAGTGTTCTACTGAGGTCCCTTTTGACCCTAAAAATCTATGAAATGTGCTCTCTCTGATCCAGGAAGAGCACAAAACAACGGCAGGCACTCCTGCCTGATGAAAGGTGTTTGTCCTGAAAGCTTGCAAAGAAATTTTTTTCCAACTCTTTATTTGGTCTAATAAAATATATTTACCCAAAGAACCTTGTCTGCCTATCTTCTTAGACAAACACAATTATAACGAACACCCCTGAATGTGAGGCAGGGAAGATCAGAGATGATAGGACACAATAGGTGTGAGACAGGTAGGTGGGGGGATAAAGGGGGAGGGATGTTGCCCTGACCTGGTGATAGAATGTAGTTGGTAATATAGTTGGGGCTATCAGATGACAGGCAGGTTATAATGTCCCATACATTCTACGTAAATTATAAATACATGATTAAATATATAAATATATATAAATATAGATATGATTGTAGATTAAATGATCAGGAAACATCTCAAATGGTTGAGTTGGTATGTGTAAATGCAGTCTAGCCTTCAAAAAGGAAAAGCAGTTTTGCCAACTGTATTGCATCCTCAGGTAAAATAATAGAATAAATAAGAGAAAGTAGTCTGTACTTCATGAACAACATGTAGTGTCTGTGCATGTAATGAAGTCAGACAGGCAGCCCACAAGATGTAGTTGTGGTTGCATGGCATGTTAGATTTATATAAAAAAACAAACAAAGAAAAAAAAATCAAGTTTTCATGTTAAAATGCCTGCTTGTTGTGGAGATCACTTTCCAAATAATCAAGAGTAAATGCATGCAGTCCAGTCTCCTTGAGATTGGAGATGGCCTGAAACAATAACTGACGCATGCAAGCTGGTTGGCCTATCCTTCCTCAGTTGACTTGATTGGGGTGTTAATCCTAATGAAATGGTTACAAATGTCAGTATTAACTGTTGTACTACTTATTTTAGAAGGTGGGGTGGAGAGACGGATGGGTACAAAGCTCATGGCATGGAGTTGTGTATTGTTACAGAATTAGATGATGCTTTAAGTGCATATTAGACTGGGGCAGGCAAAATATGGCCTGCAGGCTGGATCCAGCCCACCAAGCAATTCCATTTGGCTTGCAGGGCCCCTCTGTAAGCCCTGGCCCTGAGCTGTCCCTTTGCAAGCCCGGGCTTCCATGCAGGAGGTATGCTCTGGTTGCTAAGCAACCCCCTCCCACCCCAGCCTTGCCTGACCCACCCCCAGCTCCAAGCTTGTGGGGCTTAGAGACCAGAAGCCTCTACCTGGCAGAGCTTCTGCCAGGTCACCCCAAGGCTGTTCCCAGCCTCCTTGCCTATGAGCCTGGGAATTCAGGTGAGGACCCCACCTGCTGGGGCCAGGGGCTTCCGCTGGGGGAAAGGGGACTGGGAGCACATGGAGCTCCCAGGTGGCCAGACTGAGCTGTCCCTGCATGCTGCAGAAGTACAGGAGCTGCACACTATGGGGCTGGGTCAGGCTGGCCCCGCACGCTGCCACTGCATGCAGCCGGGGGTTTGAGCAGAAGCACTATGGGTCTGGGTGGGGCCACCAGGGCCTTGACCAGAGAGTGCAGGGAGCTGTGCGCTATGGGGCTCCAGCTGTGCACCATGTGCAGCTCCAGGGACTCTGAGGACTCCCTGCCACCGTAACCCACCCCCACATACACCCTCCCTTACACTGACACTTCTGGTCCCAAGATGACAACCAGGGGCAGGGCACCTGTAAAGGGTCACATCTACCCTTGCAGCCCTTTACAACTCACCAAAACTTGCTAAGCAGCCCTCCGACTGAAATAATTGCCCATCCCTGTATTAGACTAACATGTGTCTGGGGTAGGTTAGGGGAGAGATGATCCTGCCTCGATTGGAGAGTTAGACTGGATGAGCCTGTGAAGTCCTTTCTTTCTCAGCATCGTGTCTTCATAGAAATCATAGAAAAACAAAGACAGGAAAAAAGGGATTAGGGAAGATGGTAGAAAACAGAGCATGATGGTGCTCAAGATTAACATATTTTCCTACCGAATGGTGACAGATATGCAAGTAAGTCCTGAACAAGTAATAACTATAGATAACTAGGTTTACTTCTGTCATAAAGGCCAAATCCTGCTCCTAATGTCTGCACAAGCTTTCCATTAACATCAGTGAGATTTATGTCTAAATTGAGTGTGACACAGTCCTAAATTTGTACCCCAAGCAACAATTAAAAATGGAATTTGGTCTCATCCACGCAATGCCTTTGAAGCCTCTAATCCAGTGCATAATGGAGCCGTGAGCAAAAAATCTGAATGGAGATTTATTTATAAAGAACAAATGATGCCAAAGCGCACGCTCTCATTATTTTTTAAAGCTAACTGAGTTATTGGGCAGTGGAAATGGTGCAGATGTAATATCTGAGATTTGTAAAGCATTTGATTCATGACCAAATTCTCTAAAGCAGCTGCTTAAATTTGCATCTGAGTGACTGCCATGTTTCCAAGTGTCTGTTTGAATGCATAGATGCAGGATTTCTGTGTGAAAAATGAGCCCTCATGGAATTGCAGAAAAACTAATTGACATTGGCTAGGGTATGGCACTGTCACATGGATTAAAAATTGCCTGATTTACTTCAAGTAAAGCTTAATTGTAAATAGTAACATATTGAGTTGAGGAAAGTGTCTAATGAGTTCTGCAAGGTCTGGTTTTGGGTCTTACAAAACATCTTCATTAATGGACCTGGAAGGGGGAGTAGAGAGCCTATTAACAAAATTCAGACTACATTGAACTAGAAGCTGATACAAAGATAGCGAGAGTCAACTGCTGGTACAAATACCTTTATAGAGGTTTGAAATTTGGCCAAAATACAGAGAGACTTGGGTTGGGGAAAGGCAGCTAATACATCTAGGGAAAAAGAGCTTGAAACAGATGTTTCTGGGAGGGAAAAGCCTGGAAAGTCATGAGGCTTAGAGATTTAGGAGTGTTGGTGAACAGCTAATGGCACAGCTTCTAAAGATCAGGACAGC